TATTTACTGCCTAGGGTTTTAAAAGTGCAGTTATATTAAAAATCACAAAATCCATTAAATAATAATAGTGATGCATATTTACTGCCTAGGGTTTTAAAAGTGCAGTTTAACTTACTACGTTCTTCCAGAATTGACACGTGGTTATCCATCATTAGAAAATGCCCATCTAATTATGAGGGTTTCAAAACTCTCCTATCCTCCAAAAGAAAAAGCACATTTGTGCAACTAGATGCAATTCTAAAATCTTAGAAGCTTGAAAGGTTTGTTGCTTAAAATTTTTTTGTTTTTAAAGAATTCAGTGATGATTTTCACCAATGCATTAACTTTAAAGGCCTTTCATTTTGAGACACAAATTTTGATTTATGGGTCAAATATATGCACTTATGAGAGACCAGTAAATCTGTAGCTTCTTGAGAACCCATGGGGATATTTTATGAAGTATTTCATAATGCCTTTTCTGAAACCAACCTTAGCCTTTATCTTAAAACCTTTTAAAATGTATGAAATACTTCATACACATTTTAAAAATTCAACTTTAGCCCTTTACAAGAAACTTCTGAAAAACACAATGGTTATTAACTTGTTCCCTTTAATTGTCAAAGCACATCCTAGCTACTATTTAATTCAACCTTTCATTTATTCTTCTCAAGCAACTATTATGATAGCAGGAGAATTTTGGACTTCGTTCTCAAGTCAGATGGCTCCCTGAAAGATAATGTAAAATGGTATTGAATTTGTTATCTGATTATGGAAACAATACATAGTCAACATAGAACACTTTGGAATATATAAACCAAAAACCAAAATCAAGAACCAATTCCTGGGTGATATGACCCTAAGCCAGTTTGAGAGGCATCCAGGAGCAAGTGGGTGATACCTGTGACGTTGAGATTTTGTTGGTGGAAGAAAGGAAGACGTGAGAAGTGCGTGGGAGTCAGTCCCAGGAGGGTGGAGGGACCATGAACACACCTGCATCCTCCTTTCTCTTCCCGGAATGTTCCTTCCACCAGATCCAGACTCTGTCCATACAGCTGCCTGGGAAATAGAAGAGGGAATTCACGTGGGCAGCCCTCCTTGTTGGCCTAACAATTACTATTAAAAAAAACCCTTTTTAGAACTTTCAAATAAATAATTTATTCAAAGGGGAAAAAAAATCTCTTTCAGGCAACCACGGAGGAAAGTGAAGCGAATAGTCGAGAAGATGAGGAGGACGGTGGGAATCCCAGCAAAGGGGACACAGAACTTGCCTCATCAGGTTTGTTTCATAGCAGACTAGTTTTCAGGGAAATTGTGATAAATCTTAAGACACGATGAAAACAGAGTCAAGAATTTTTTCCGACCGAGCCGCACAAAGGTAGTTCATGAGACTCTGCCGGTGGCGTGGTTGTGCCGCCACCTCGAGGCTGCCCAGGGAAATTCCGGCCATATGGATAACATTTCTTGAAAATAAGAGCAGGTGCTTGTTTAAGATGACCCAGTTCCATTCTGTTTCTTGAAAGCGTATCTCTGTGACCATAAAGGGTGTTGTGTCTTTTAATAACGCTAAAAACCGAGGGTCAGGTTTTCCACAATAGATGAAACGTAGATCGAAAATATATCATAAAAACAAATGCCGAGACGATAAAGCCCATGAATATTTGAAAGAATGAAGTCCGACCGTGAATCTGGACAGTGAGCGCGGATATACAGCATCCATTGTTTAGAGAATGGGCCCGCTGCTCCCTAAAGTATTGTTCCTCAATTTTTTTTGCCATCTTATCAATATTTTTAACATATTTATTCTTTCGATAAACATTAAAACCTCTCGTCCTGTTCCAATACCAAATTATTTTTAAATGTCATTTTTAAAATGAATTAAATATCACTTAAAAATAATAGCGTATGTTTTTTCACACTAGATTGTGCGCCCACATTTTGAAATGCGCCCTCAGGTGGTGACTTTTCCACTCCCTCTAAAGTGAACCTGGTTGTTCTTTGCATGTCGGAGAACAGTTGGTTTTCGTTGCATTAGATGCGTGTGTGCGTATACGTATATATGTGTACACACACAGATGTGTGTATATCCCGCAATTCTTACCACACTTCAGTTAAGAAATTGTGATGTTCAAAGGGAGGATTGAAATACAAAAGGAAGACAGTCGGGCTGCCTCTCAGTCACTGGGGTAGAAATTATCTGCAGATGTTCCCTTGTCCAGCCCGACTCTCATAATCATCAAGTTTTACGTGCCAGCATTTTGTTCTGTGTGATGTCATTCAGGTGTAAACTGTGACCTCTATTAAGAACTTACGTTTTTCATAGTGGGGTTATTTCATGTGTCCTGTGTTGCTTGTTATTTTACAATACCATGAGAAAGCTTAGAGAATTCCAGCATCTTAGGCCCTTTCCTACCTGTCTTCACACTGTAACCCATCTTCCTATTGCCAGAACAGGGTGTAGCCTGCACTTCAAGGCGTTGCAAAATAAACGGTCCTTGATGTAGTTTTCTTTTTCTTCTTTACGTTTCTGGACGCAACGCCATCTCAGAGCCGCAGCATTTCACGACAACGGTGACCCGATGCAGCCCGACCGTGGCCTTCGTGGATTTCTCCCCCAGCCCCCAGCCGAAGAACGACGTGTCAGAGGGAAAAGACCAGAAGAAACCGGAAAACGAAATGAGTGGGAAGGTGGAGTTGGTGCTGTCGCAAAAGGTGGAGTACAGGGTGGAGCGGAGCGGCTAAATCGTAAGATGGTTGCGGCCTCGTGTCGCAGGGCTGTGGCCGTTGTCATAACGAAGATTCATTTTCTCTGCCGAGATTTACCAGACACCGGACATTCGACGGTGAACACGAAGGGCCTCCAGGCCGTGGGAGCTGAGGTTGATGCCCCTTTGCTAGAGCCCTACGGTGTCGTTGCCCTGGTCCCTTTCGTATTTCAGACCCTCGCTAGTCCCCGTTTCCATGCATGGGGATTAGAGGACGGTCTGTAGGTCGTAAAGGGGAGCTAAACGGTCGGTCAAACGTTGGCGGCAGGCAGAATGTCCCGCCTTTGCGGATTTTGCCTCATCTACATTACACTTGCAGCCATTGTTTGTTTATTATTCTTCCCGATTCACTCTTCTTTTCACTTACATTTAAACCGAAAGGAAAACTCTGTAATTTTTTTTACTAGAAAAAAATAGTTTTAAACTAAGTGACTACCATAACTGAAAACCAGTCATCGCTGGCCCCTTCTGTGTAACCTCACCCGTGTGACCCATCCTTGGAGCACCTGCCTCACATCCACCCAGCCGTGGAAAAATGTTTGCAGGTTCTTGGGTTTGTTTGCTTGCTGTTCCCTGGCCATCTGGTAAACGTCATTCTCAGAAGAACAGTTTTTAGAGCATAAAATACACAGATGACCAAGCACATCACTCCCGAATTCCGTTCCGCAGACTCCAGGCTAAGACCTGCTGGTCAGTTGGCAAATGGAATAATGGTCTCTGAACCCATCGTTTTTCTCACTTGCACCATGTTAATTTCTGCCTCCTTTCCCTCCCCTGGCTGCAGTGAGGTCTTAGACAAAGGCAGAGAGGTGGTCACAGTAGTTGCAACAGCTTTTATTTTGATTTCACTCGAGAGTGTTACCTTTATAGAACAAAGCACCCAGGCGTACAGGCTGACCTTTTTACATAGCGGTCATTTTGAGCATTTTTGCTGACCATTGACTGGTTCGTTTACACCCAGCATCATCTGAAACATGTGTTTGCTAGCCTCCACCGCAGGAAAATGGCATGAGGTGTGCACGATTTGAGGGTTGTCAGCTTCAGTAAGTCCAGACCTTGGCTTTTGCTGTGTGGCACTGCGGTTCATCTGGACATCTGGTTGGCCTGGAACACAGACCGAGGGGGATTAGCTGTATTGTCTTCAGGATTCTCTTAGAGCTGAATGTGTTATTCATAAAGAAAAATAAAATTGTACTGAGAATAAAGTCTAACAATTTATTCTGAGGACCAAATTACAGATCAGCTCATGATGAAACAAATAAGTATTCTGCAGCCTCACTGGCTCTGAGGTCATTAGCTCTCAAGTTAATCAGTCGGGGCACGGCCACTGGCCAGAGAGTGAATCAGAGAAAGTCCCGTCCTTACACAGCCGTGCTCTTCCTTCAGCCCTGTGCCCAGACAGAGTCTGCCAACTCTTCTTACTTGAGGCCTCATTTTAGTAAGTCTGGCAGTCTGGTCTTTCAGCAATCGGTTGATTAGAAGCAACAGATCAGACGGAGGGTGCTTCTACCGAAGGTCATTCAGATTAGGGAGAGACAAAATAAAATCAGTGGCAACAAGAAAAATGTATTTCTAAGCAAACGTAAGAATTTTTAAAACCTTGAATTTTGGAACTATTTACCATAAGGACAAGTGTGCTAACATGCTTCAAAAATTCCCTAAGGGAATCAGTGCATGGTATGGCTTGACAGTGGTTATTTATAATAATACTTCTTTAGGCCGGGCGTGGTGGCGCACGCCTGTAATCCTAGCACTTTGGGAGGCTGAGGAGGGTGGATCATTTGAGCTCAGTAGTCCGAGACGAGCCTGAGCAAGAGCGAGACCTCGTCACTACTAAAAAAATAGAAAGAAATTAGCTGAACAACTAAAAATATATATAGAATAGAAAAATTAGCCAGGCGTGGTGGTGCATGCCTGTAGTCCCAGCTACTAGGGAGGCTGAGGCAGGAGGATCGCTTGAGCCCAGGAGTTTGAGGTTGCAGTGAGCTATGATGATGTCACTGCACTCTAGCCAGGGTGACAGAGTGAGACCCTGTCTCAAAAAATAATAATAATAATAATAATACTTCTTTGTCAACAGGCAAAATACATTGTCTTTAATGTGTTTTGCGTACATTTTGGGGGTTAATATAGTGTCTTGAGAATAAAGTCCATTAAAAGTAGTATTACTTTAATATTTAGTACTCACGGAGTAAGATTTTTTAAAAATTATCTTATGTGGAACATCTCATTTCCTGACATTACAAATTCAGTATTGTGTGGTAGTAGGAAGAGAATATGTGATTGGTCAGTAAGAAAACGAGAGACAGTGGTGTATACCTCCAAAGATGGAAATACTGTCTTCTGGGTTTGGAGAAAAGTGATCCTCACATTTTTATACTCTTGATTTCTCCGAAAAATTTACTCTCTATTAATATAGAAAAGCATGAAAGCGTTTTAGGGAAGGAGCAAAAAAAAAATTCCATTTAAAAGTGAAATGTTTGTGCTTATTGACTTCTGTAACAGTCATTAATCCTTAAGTTTTATTTCACCTGTTCGTTTTTTAATACGTGTAATGTCTGTGTCTGTCACCCATTGTCTAGGTGGTAAAGCCAAAATCCCCAGAACCAGAAGCAGCCCTGACGTTTCCATTTCTGGACAAAATGCCTGAAACCAACCAAATACACCTGCCAAATCTCAATTCTCAAGGTAAAGAGAGGGAGATGTTTTATTTGAGGTCTGCATGTTCTGCTGAGCCCATCCGCAGTAAAACATGGTTTAGTTTGAAGGAAGATTACGTCTTTTTGTTGATGTTCCTTTGGTCAAGGTGTTTGCCAGGGTCCCTGATGGCTGAATTAATAACTTCAGAACGGAAGGCTGGGGCTGTGTCCTCTTTGTCCGAGCGAGAAACTCCAGCTGCCAAGGCCGTTTTTGTCAGCCAGGCACTGTAGGGACAATAGGGCTTCTACCAGTATCTGGGAGCTTAAAAAAAGTTCCGTATTGTCCCCAAAATATAAAAAGACAGTTACAAAATCAGAAATCAATAACTCCAACATAAATCTTATAATCTTAATATTATGTCAATTTCCTTGTTAATTCTAGTCTTCATGAATGTCTATTTAATTTGACAATAATTTTGAGAATGTTGTATTTTTTTACTCCATAATCATTCCTGGGCGTGCATGACAATGACTGAGAAATTGGCCACTGTCATAAATTAAACACGTTACTCATAGCCAAAAGTTTTAATCTTTCCAAAAATTCCTTATGGCAAGAATATACAGGATGTCCCAAAATTTGCCATACATAGGGAAAATGGGAAATTGTAGCTAAATGTACCTTTATTTACAAAATATTCATGAAAAAAATTTTACAAAAATTTTCCTTTGTATGGAGACTTTTGGGACACCCTGTGTCTCTGAAACACGTATATACATACATATACATACACAATACTGAGGTAATATTTTTAAATGTTTAGCACATACATACTGAGGATATATTTTAATATGTTTCATACGTTTGATACATTTTAATGTGTTTGATATGATGTGGAAAGTGGCAGCCTCTAAAAATCTGGGAGTTTAGGGCGTGTGAAGTTCTTAAAATGGCACCGACCACTGCAAATTCCCAGGTACCATGTGATTCACCGCTTTGCTCTTCAAGAGTCCAACTCGAATCCCTTCATTCCAGTGGGAAACCCAGGTGCCCACAAGGGCTGTGAACAGGGGGACGGTCCTGAGAATGCCACAACCCTGGGGGACTGTTCTTCAAAACAGACAGGTGCCTGGGCTTTTCTGGGCGGCAGTTTTCTCTCTCCGAGAAAGAAACAGCAGCAAGAATCCAGGAGGCAAGAACCGTGGGGTTTTTGTCCATTTGTTTTTAGTGTGCTTTCCCCAGCGCGTTCTGTAGCTTCCAGGTATTTTCACTGCTCTTCTCCAGGGTGGGCAGCTGTCTGGGGCCACCACTGGCAGGATCAGGTTGGCTTCCGTTAGCACGTGTTGACGGTTAACAAGCGAGTTGGGCTCTGTCTACGTCGCAGGGAGCGCTCGGAAAGAATTAACTGGTCCACGTACTGACGTGTAATTGTTTCTTAATGTGGAAACAAGTTCGATGCCGTTTCAAAGCATTTATCTTAGATTCATCGGTCCTGCTGCCCTGAAGGGAACCGACAAAAATAAAGCCTCACAACTGGGCCAGCAATGGGCCATATTTAGACCGATTTTAATTCTGCTCCACTTCTAGCACTTTGTAATTGTGTAGATAAGTGATATAGAGAGGGAATAGATATTTTAAGCCATATTAATTGGGTTTTTTTCTTATACATTTATACATTCCATTACCTGCTGTAAGGCATTTTGATTTTGTGAAACGCGCTGTTGAATTAAAGGACTTCACGTTTTGCCCAAGTTGAATGACTAAAAAATAAAATTTAGTAGCACTGGCACATTTTAAGATTTATTCTTCAAGGTAGAATTATGTTTGGAGCACACCTGTTCTGTACTCTTATCTGGCTTGTGGAAGCTGTCTTTATAGCTGCAGGCCCTGGACACAGAATAGGTTCAAATTCTTGCTCATCTAGTTCTTAGCTGGATGCTCTTACCCGTCGGGTTTTTCCTGATTTCTAATTGTGTCACCTGTAAACTGGAAATAATAATAGTACCAATTTCATTAGGGACAGTGGAAGAATTAAATGAGCTAATCCATAAAAAGTGTTTAGCTCAATACCCGGCCCAGATTAAGCACTAATAATGTAATCTAGTAGTCGTAGAACAGTAGCAGTAGCTGTCGAAACATAGAGCAAGATGCCAGGCAGAAATGCACCCTTCTTGAATGCTTTCTTTGAAACAAGAGTGCTTGTGTTGCAGGGATATAGTTTCACACAGTAGTTCTTGAACTTGCCTCTGTGCCAGGGTCCCTGCTGGGCTTGTGGTCCACGGTGTCTAAGTCGGTAGGTCTGGGCTAGGGCTGGGGTATCTGCATTTCTGACGCTTCCTATCCAGGGGCCACACTCTGAAAATCACTGACTTGCAGCATTTATTCAAATTGTGCACCAAAGACATCGTTGGTAGATATGAAGATAACGGTAATGATTGTTCAGAGTTTATAAAGTTCCTAGCTTTCAAGAAGCAAAAGGCCTCTAATAAATTTAACCTTGAAAGAAATGATTTGTCTTTAATGGGGAATGGAGTGGGGAGTGACAGGACTCTGTCCAGAAACAGAAAGTCAGTACTCATTTAAGTGACTAGTCTGAAGTCAAACATCAAGTCCAAAGGAACGATGGGGTTAGGATTAGGAATCTTGGAGCTATAGTTAATATGTTCTCCCCCAGAAAGTGGTATCTCCCCTATTTCTACAAAGTCACCTGTTTGTAGACTGGTCACGCAGGCCACTGAAGATCTGTGGGCCAGTCCTAACGGTGTTCCGCAGGTTTCCCTTAAACACACACACACACACACACACGCACACACGCATAAATACAGTCCTCAAATACGCTGAAAACATTCACAAAAATACATTTAATGGCAACAAATTTCCTTTTCTCCACTGCCTCCCAACTAGAAAGATAACTCAAATTGGGGTTTCAGTAAAATACGTGCACATGTTAAAAACTGTTGTCTTTTTTGCACTGAGAACAACAAGACTAGCACAGCTCAGAGCCGGAGGATGGGAACGCTCACTGTGAGCTCTGTGTTTGATGCCGCCCCGTAGAGACAGGTACACATCCCTTTTTATACATAAAAAAGGAGGTCTTCTGCCACAGACTTCCACATAGAACCTTTATAAAGTGTAATGTGTATAAAATAAAAATGAAACCACCCATCTCTGCTGCCTTTTCCAGCGTTCTCCAAAAGTCATATAAACAGTGCCTCGCCAAGCCCTAGCATAGCATACCATCCTGTCATTTTGAGATTTAACATTCTGACAACATCACCATGAAGTATGAGCCCATGAATTGTACCTAACACCACAGGAGACAAAAAATAGCATAAATTTCCCCAGTTCTATTGACGTTGCCCATGCCCTCAGGTTCTGTGTGTTAGTAAGAGATTTTGTACTTTGGATCCACTGACGCTCAATTCCTGTGTCGACTACAACCAGAAGTACTGGAGAGTAGGGTTCTGCCGATTCTCACCTGATTTTCATGGTTTCTGTTTGTTCTGTTCCGCCATCTGATCCAGAGTCGCCCGTCCCGCTTAGAGTTCAGAACTCTTGGCGACGTTCTCAGTTTTTCTCGCAGTCAGGTAAACCACACCTGGGGCAGCCGCATTTCTTCTGTGCAAAAATCCATGTTGGTGCAACCAATGACGTCTGGCATTTGTCTCCATTTCTGATTCCAGGGGGGAAAAGATGCTTGTTTCTGATACACAGTTAGCAAAGAGCTAGTTCTTTGGTATCAGTACCAGCTATAATAAAATCAGGGGGAAATTCACAGAACTTTATGTTGATTTTGAGAATCCAAGGAGAGAATATCATTCACTTCTTTCTTTACCGTCCCTTTCTTTTCCTTTTTTTTTTTTTTTTTTTAACAAAGGCTAGAAGCATTTACCAGAAAAAGGATAACGGTTCTTTTGTTAACTGTGTCCCTCTCTTTGCTCCCTGGGTGAAATCTGGCCTCTCTCTGTCTGACACTTCTCCGTGCCAGACAGGGAGGGAACCGCTAGGCCACTCCAGAACACAAGGTGCTTTAAGAGCCAGCACTAACTAATAGGGGTAGTTCTTGCTTTCTGTAGTCTAGTACCTGGTGCTAATGGATGTGATCAATCACGTTACACTAGTCTGACTTCTTTTGGTGATGGGCGCAGCCTGCGGCGGGGGTCTGCTTTGTTATGATCTAATGCTCCTGTCTCACAAAAAAAAATTGGTTGGAAGCTGACATAGGAACACTCCGTGGAAAGGACCAAAAGTCACAACAGTTAGAAGCTACTCACATTAATATTTCTTTTCTTTCCTTTTATCTGTGCAGTGGATTCTCCAAGCAGTGAAAAGTCACCTGTGACTACACCTGTAAGTAACTCACTTTAAGGAATAAGATGATGTGTTAGTGTGATTTTAATCTATAATGTATTTCATTTGCTTAAAGAATATTAAACCAAAACCGAGACCTGAAAAACCGATATTTAGAAGAATAATTAAAAGCCATATATAATGCTGTCGGGCAAATGATGACGACACGGATTATCGTCACGAGGAGTTGTTACCGTGCTGTTTTTATGCCTGGAACTTAATCGATACGTCGGGAAGTAAAATCTAAAAGGAGCAATTAAAATGAATGTGCCAGTGGGAATTAGCATTAAAACAGACAATTGCTATAGACATTCACAATAGTTTTTTTTTTTTTTTTTTTTTGAGACAGAGTCTCACTGTGTTGCCCGGGCTAGAGTGCCGTGGCATCAGCCTAGCTCACAGCAACCTCAAACTCCTGGGCTCAAGCAATCCTCCTGCCTCAGCCTCCTGAGTAGCTGGGACTACAGACATGTGCCACCATGCCCGGCTAATTTTTTCTATATGTTTTTAGTTGTCCGATTAATTTCTTTCTGTTTTTTTTTTTTAGTAGAGATGGGGTCTTGCTCTTGCTCAGGCTGGTTTCGAACTCCTGAGCTCAAACAATCTGCCCGCCTCTGCCTCCCAGAGAGCTAGGATTACAGACGTGAGCCACCGCGCCTGGCCCACAATAGTTTTTTTAAATGAGGACAATACCTCAGCATCGTGTTACTGTGGGGAGACAGGACCCGGCCTGGACTCTCTCCGGGAGACCCGAGCTGCGTTTGTTCCAGCCCTTCTCACAGCCAGTATCTTGCATAATATTAACTGTGCATGTCATTTTCTGATTAATATTTCGATGAAATAAGAAAGCATTTGCTAATTAAAATAAGACACATGATGCTGTGAAAACTTCTTGCCGCTGAAGGATATCTCAACACTCTGGACTGGTGTTTCCAACTCTGAGCCTGCCGTCCTCACTCTCCTCTGAAATGCCCGGCAGATCTGGAGACTTTCTTCGTGGCCCAACACCTGAGCATTGCCCTTGAGCCACCTGGACTCGGCCACACGATCGCTGTTGTACCTTTGATTCCAGATTCACGAGGTGTACGGCCCTGAAGGTGTTGTGTGTGTATAGCTTCTCTGAATGTCATCGTCCTTGATTGAACAACGGTGAAGTCAAGCCATCACAAGTGGGGGACCAGCTATACACGCAATTAAATACTTTCCCCTGCATAACTGGCCAGAGCCTAGAGCACGCCATTGTGCAGTGTGAATCCCAAGAGTGGCAAACGGCGAGTATGTTTCCCTAGCTTATTTGCCCATCTCTCTTTGACTATTCTGTGAACACCATGGCCAGCCCAGTCGTTTGCAGGAACTACAGCAAAAATACAAAAGGAGGCTCACAAATATGTCAACATTGTAAATATTTTTAAAGTTACAAATCAGGCATCACAATGGCCTGGCCTGGCCTGCACCCCCTGCCTGCAGGTACCTCTGGGCCAGCCCACCGTGCCTGAGTGGTACAACAGTCTGGATCTGTTGCAGGGTGGACGTGGGCTGGCCCAGGTCTCCTGGGCAGCACCCGGACATATCAAAACCTCAGACAAGACTGACCCTGCCAGCTTCCCAGGCAGCCGGCGCACACAGGCTCTGCCTGCTTCCTTCCCTGACCCCCACCCTGGCCTCACTTTTTCTGCTCAAGTGTCCTGGGCAGTTCTAAATGCCTCCCCAGACGACCCCATCAACGCTGCTGTTTCCCAGGAGCAGGCTATGGTTTCTCCTCCCCCTGGCACCCTCCCCAGCCAATGTTCTGTGCCTGGGCACCTGCTTTGGGTCATGCATTTTTCTTATTTATTTACTTGGTTCCCAAACTTGCAAAAACCTTTTATTAAGACCCCCCCCAAAAATCTCTGGTTTAAGTGTTTGTGCTCCGCGGGTCCCCTTGCCTGGATCTCAGGAGGCACAGGTGCGCGTCAGTGAGCAAAATCACCCGCTCTAGGGAAAGCCGGCGTGGAAAAGCAGCGGCACTACAAACGGTGAGCTTTGTGGTTTGGCAAACGCTACTTCTCGCAAAATGCATTTCTGCTGAAATCACCAACACCGTTCGCGTGGACCTAGGATCAACATGCAGAAGGAGAACCTTACGCGCAGGAGCGTGAACGCATTTAGGAAATCACTTCTAAGAGAGAAGAAGCAGAGCCGTCCCGTGCCAGTGGCTGACTACCTCGTGTTTCATTAGCTTCAGAAGGCTCACGGAATCCCACCTGCATCTTGGAAGTAAACCAAAGAGGGACTAAAGTTAAAAAACGCCACCGAAGAGGACGTTTAGACAGTGAAGGCCCCTGCGTCTGTGTGTTACAGCAGGCGCCAGGGCAGAGGCTAATGGTCTTCTCTTGCCTGGGCTGGCCTTGCGGACGTGGTTCAGTTCTGATCATGGGTTTTTTTTTTTTTCTAAGCAGTTTAAGTTCTGGGCCTGGGACCCAGAAGAGGAGCGCAGGAGACAGGAAAAATGGCAGCAGGAGCAGGAGCGTCAACTCCAGGTGAGACCCGGTTTGCTCCTTCTCCCACCCCTTTCTTTCAGACGATGCTCTCTTAATTTCTGTGGCATTAAACAGATTCTTAGCACAGAAAACGGGTGGAATTGGACCCTTCTCAGAGGTTGGTGAGCCCAAGCCAGCTCATTGTGTATCCCTACAACACAGTGCCTCGTACCTCATTCTTCCTGCCAAAAGCTACCGGGATGACGATGAGGAAAAACATTCATATTAACAGTTTAAAAAAATTCAAAGCGTTGGTGAAGGGCCAGGTCATCCATTTGTCACCTTCTTCGTGAGCAGTCACTCTCCAGTCCAGGCAGCAGAGGGACTGGATTGTCAACAAGCTATTGGATAGCTACATGGGAAATAGAACTTGGCCTCCGTCTAATTCCTTCAGTAGAAACGTTTGCTCCATTTTTTAGCAAAAGCGGCTAATTATCAATTCTAGAAAAATTCTGGTAGCAAATTTATCACCCTCCTACTTGCTTCATGCCAGTCGTACGGATTAACAGAGCTTCCGAAGGTAGCCCAGTAACCTAAGAAACTAACCCATGTTGAGTATTTGGGGTGGGCCAGGATCTGTGGTTA